CTTCCACATCCTGAGCGTGAGCCAGCAGGAAAATTACCAAAGCGTTTTCCAATTGCTGGCAAGCTGGACAGTTATTGTTTAGGGTTGTTATGGAGATAAAAGGAAAGCTTGGAAAACATAGGATAATGTAGGGGCATCTGTGATCAGGGAGAATGTGTTTTCATTCTAAATGTCTGAAGTTCCTAAAGGGGAGGACAAGTTCCCCTTCAGAAAGAGGATATTATGAGCTTCATCGGAAGAAGTACTGTCACAGGATTATGTTTTGGAGGGACATCTGCGGGGATGATTTCAGGGATAGAAGCATCATCAGACACTTTTGGCAAAAATTTAACACGCCGATCCTTCAGTTTCTGACCTCTTCTGTTTCTTGATAGGTACGCCATGAAGTGTCTAGATAAGAAGCGTATTAAGATGAAGCAGGGGGAGACATTGGCCCTGAATGAACGCATCATGCTGTCTCTTGTCAGCACTGGGGTGAGCTTGGCTACTCTTGTGAGGAATTGGGAGAAGCAGAAAGAATGCCCAAGCTCTGAATCTACATCATACGAGTTTTTGGTGGGCAGAAGGAGAAATCTAAAAACATTCAAGTGACAGTTTGGGGACTTGAAGTCAGAGCTGGCATGGGTGAGGTAGATATTTTGCTGAACCCATCTGTCGTGGAGATGGAAGAAGATGTGTAAAGGAGGTAGTGTTGATTTGTTGATGCTGGGAGTGTAACCTAGCAGCAAAGATGGTATGCAAGTATGCCACAACGTTTATGCCAGAAAGAATAAGAGGTGCCGTGCAGCATGTCTGAAAGTTAGAGGAGAGTACGTGTTGTGTATGGAGTATGCTGAAGAGAGAAAGAAGGGCAGGAAGGATTCTTTGCATGTAAGAAAAACAAGAGGAGAATACCTACAAGTGTTTACAGGATGGGGTTGTGGGAAAGCAAGCAAGGTTACGATGTATTGTGTAGGTATTGGTGCAGGCACACTGCAGAAATTGTGGCATATAGGGTCAAATACAATAGCTAGCACTAGTTTGTGAGGCCGGAAACTGAGTGGTTTATTACACAATTTGTTGTCACAAGATTGTAAGAAGCAAGCGTAAGTGTGTGCAGTTGAATGAGTTGGGTAATAAGTGTGAACACAGGATGTATTAGATTATAGAATGTACGGCAAAGATGCCAGAGGCAAACTGCGTGAGAGTGTGAGCTGAAATGTATCAATATATGGTGTGCGCATGCATGCAGTTTCTTTGTTGTTCTTTTTTCTGTTGTAACTTTGTTCTTTGGATCCCTGCCAGGATTGCCCCTTCATCGTGTGTATGTCATATGCCTTCCAAACACCCGACAAGCTCAGCTTCATCCTGGACCTCATGAATGGTGAGAGCCAGGATCCTGCCTCTAAGAGCCCCTCCTTCTCTGCCATCCTCATGTGCTTTCCTAAAGGACTCCTCCACCCCTGGCTGTGTCTTGTTCCATCACATAGTTCTTTGCTTTCCTCCTTGCAGGGGGTGATCTACATTATCATCTTTCCCAGCATGGGGTCTTCTCGGAGACAGAGATGCGTTTCTATGCAGCAGAGATCATCCTGGGTCTGGAACATATGCACAATCGCTTTGTGGTTTATCGTGACCTCAAGGTGAGAACATCCACCTCTTCTAACCAATCCCATTCCTGTATAATAGACCAGCAGAGCCACCATCACCATGACTGGCTTTATTTCACAAAGGGAGTAGATTGCTGGTATTCAGTGGTGAGGCTTCAATATCTCATTCCTCTCTGCAGATGAAAGGTAGTTTTCTCAGTGCATTTGGATTTCTTCCATCTCCTATCTAGGAGCCAACATGATGTGGCTGAGAGATTTGTGATCAGAGAACACTAAAATCAAGCTCTGATGTCTCCTTTAGAAAATGGATTCTAAAATCTTAATGTTCCCTAGTACCTCACATTCCTTTTCTAAGTATTTTGGAATTATTAAAATATTGACATCCACTCTTTGAATCAGAATCACTGCTTCATATAAAGTAGGATGGGATCGTGTTTTGTTGCTTGTTTTGTATATTATAACTTGATTGTGCTCCTCTGTAAACCTAAATCTATCCACTGTGGGAGCTGAATTCATCATTTGGAAAATGCTTCTTCAGTTCTCCTGCAGAGATTTACCTTTATTTGGTTGATTCCAAAGGGCTGGGAAAGAGGCTCAGGTCACAGCATGAGGGAGGAGAGTTTCAATAGTCTGGCCTTGCTTGCCCTCTTTCATCACCATTTCCACAGCAGCACTCTGGAGTCCAAGAAATAAAAAACCACTTATTTTGTTAAATGGTGCTCTATCCCTACAGCCAGCCAACATCTTGCTAGATGAATTTGGCCATGTCCGCATCTCAGATTTGGGTCTCGCCTGTGACTTCTCCAAGAAGAAGCCTCATGCCAGTGTGTGAGTATCTGAAATAAATCTCCTTTTTTGCCCAGAAACACTAGATACAACTAATTTTATAACAGAAATAAATATGGGAGCATGCTTCCATTCCCAACCCCCTTGATTCCTCAACTTCCTTAGTTATTGTGCCCTTCAGATGCCTTAGATTTAAGTGCCCTTCACTCTCATTAGTGGGTTAGTTAGGGTTAGTTCAAACTGGAACTATCTGGAAAACCTGAAACATTTTGCCTCACTTCCCCAAAATCAATTTATAGATCATACTTAATCTGTAATAGGGAATAATATAATTCCAAGATGCTTCTAGCTGAACCTGTCTATCTTTTATACATGAACTGTGCATAATGCTATGTATATATAAACTAACAACATGGATCAACATATCACAACATTCCAATCTCCTAATTGCATACTTGGAGTCTGCCATTTGCATTTTCTGCTCATAAATGGTCAGGTAAAAGGATATTCTCAGGGCGTTGGTTATTAAAACCTACACAAGTAATTATATATTTTGGTATTGGTATATGAGGAGTTTTTGCAGATTATCCAGTTGAAACCACTTCCATTGAGAATGTATTGAAACACACTCCCACATACCATATTTACAATTTTAAAGTGTGATGCAAGGAGGAATTAGTAATTGCTTCCATTTACAAACCGATAAAAAAAAAGTGCAGTGCAAATCTCTGATGGAAAAGAAGAATAAATTCTCTTTTCTTTTGATACATCCTGCTAAGGATCTTTAGCCTCATGCTCCGCTTCTTTTAATTCTTGGTTTGATCCTCTCTACAGTGGCACACATGGGTACATGGCACCAGAGGTTTTGCAGAAAGGCGTGGCCTATGATAGCAGTGCCGATTGGTTCTCTTTAGGCTGCATGCTCTTCAAGCTTCTGAGGGGGTAAGTGCCGAATAGGCTGAGAAAGTGCAGTATGTGGAAACATAATCAC